ATTGAAAAATTTGGAAGGATGTTCCACTCAAGAGTGAGTGAAGGTAAAGAGGTGCAAGTACCTTCCTTAGGGAATAGATTATTTTATTTAAAAAAATCTGTTTGATCTAGCAGCGGAAAATGTAGCAATGTTTAGTAGTAGTAAGCAGACTCTGGATGAATTTAAGCTAGAAATGAGGAACACATTTTGACTAGTGAAAATACTTAACCAGTCAAACAATTTACCTAGGGATATGCTGGATTCCTCTTCATTGCTGTGGTTGAAATGGAATATGTTTAAATTAAAACAAGTGTGTTTCTTTCAAATTGTAGTTATGATTTGATGCAGGAATTATCATGTGAGGGTCTTTGGCCTATGTTGTACAGCAGATCAGACTAGATGATCATAATTGTCCCTTCTGGCCTTCAAATCTGTAAATCTATTTATAATATAGCTGTGGTCTCCTTGCACAGCCCGTAGCAAATAATTCCTGTGACTAGTGTGATCAGATTGCGTTCTGAGCAGGACTGGTGGTAGCTTGCACAGATTATACGTCTGCGTTGTTTATACAACCTACTATACATATAGACCTGTTTCTACTGGGCAACATCGCTGTTTCCAGTTATCTACCAAGTTTTTGTGCAGATTTTACAAGCAGCATTGAATTGTTATTGTTTTACTGTATCCTGATATAAAATCGTTCTTGTGAGATGTCTTGTGTCTTGTAAACCAGAGTGGTAGATAGATCAGAACTGTGATTATGTAGCCCAGATAAGTTATTCTCTGTAGGACTTTTTTTTTTTTTTTTTTTTTTTTGTACACACTGGAATATTTGCTCTTTCTATTCCATTGTGAAAAGGTTTTCAGGGATGCGAACAGGGACAGAGAATTAGCAAGATCAGGATGGTCATTGCCTTTGTGAACAATGAAAAATGACTCTTGGATATGAAATGCAAAAAAGTATTTTGAAAAAGTCATGTTCCCTCACTTCTACATGGCAACATTAATTCATGTGAACTGATATTAAGTGTTAAATAAGTCATCCAGACACTGCTCTTGGCAATATTACCAGGGTAGTCATTACACTAGGATGAATTCTGTGAAACCTTCCCTCAAAGTACGATATACAAACAGGTTGTCTTCTGACAAGAACCGTACCCTACCTCTCTTGTCCCTTGTAGTATTTTTTGGATATATACTATTGAAGTTGCTGATAGAGTCCTGGAAATTAGGGGTCCTTTGGGTTTTCCATTGTAACTGGCTTGGTTTTTGGTTTTGGTTGAGGTTAGGTTGGGCTTTTTCCCACAGCATTTTATAACTCTGTTTTGTTATTTGTACAAGGACTTACACAGGGCATAACTGGTTGTTAATTTGAGCAGATAAAACAGCATCTAAATACCTGCACCATTACTGAATTTAAGAAATACTGACACACTAGATTTAAAAGATTCAAAGATTATTTACTCCATCCTACTCCCTCCTCCCAATGCCTGCCCTCAAAATAGCAGCAGTTAAGATTGCTTTGAAGTAAACTAATCACTGCCAATATTTGGATCTAAAGGAGGGGAGAGAGGTTTTGAATAGTTCCCTTTGAACAATGTTTTTTGGCTAGTCCTGTATTGTAAAGGTAGCACAGTGTGTTGCTACATGTTGAGTCCAATTTCAGACCTTCAGCTTTAGATCTCATTTCTAGCCATGCAAGAGGTGGGAGCACCACAGAGGCAGTGTACCAAGGCCAGGAGAGATTTGGGCTTTTTTATCACACTGTCTCAGTCAGTGTCTTCTTTCAGTCCAACACTTACGGCGTTGGTGGCGAGCTGTGTCCAGATCTCCTCTGCTGAAAGGAAGCTCACTCAGTGGAGAGGCCTTTGAGCAGAAAATGTAATGACTTCAAGGCTTAGCAATTCAGAATAAGAGTATGTTGTTGTGCCTTAGAACTTTAGGCTTAGAACTTTAGTGCTTTAGACTGAAGGTACTTTAGAAGTACAAAATGTTACTAGTATTTCCTCTAGTTAGCGTATTTTAACTCACCCCCATTTTTACATATACTTATTGCTTTGAACAGCTGCTGCATGTTTTCAGCAACATCAGTGCAGCCTATACTGCAAATTTCTCCTCCTCCCTGCAGAAGTAGTTATCCAGTGGTTGACATAGCACCTGTAATACTGGGACACACTTTCTGATGACGTCCCTTGATGTGCAGCGCAAACACACACTGAACTATCATGAGAATAAAAGGAAGTGCTCGATACAATTGTGTTAAAGATTTCCCTAAATGCATGGGGGATGCTGAGGAAGAGCTTTTCAGTTAAGAGAAATGAGAACTCCAAAGTGAGAGCATGTAAGCATGTAAAATCTGATACTTGATTTTCACCAATGTTAGAAATGCAAACAAATAGCCAGGGTCTTCTGTCCCCTTGTTCCTACCCTCAAATGCCTGTGACGGGTGTGCATCTGCACACAGACTCTCACCTGAGACCAGGGAAGCCCAGACAGACGTTATCCGTCTCAGTGATTCTTGCATGTCAGTAGGAACGGTTTGCTTTCTACTTCTTGTTGATGGCATGCCAGAACTTCATCAGGTGATTGTAGAAGACTCAGAAGTTGCACTGAAATGTTGAAATCTGATTTCTTCTGTTAAGCTGTGTGGACCCAGGCCTAAAGCATGAACCATGCTAATTACTAACTCCTCCTCTGCTGAACACCTCTTGTTTGAGGTGCTGCACTTTTCTCCTCTAAAAAGGTCGATTAATGTGGTTGATGTAAAGCTCTCATGTCTCACCTTTTAGCTTTAGGATTACATTGAGGCCGCACCTTGAATACTGTGTTCAGTTTTGGGCCCCTCACTACAAGAAGGATGCTGAGGTGCTGGAGCTTGTCCAGAGAAGGGCAACGAAGCTGGTGAGGGGTCTGGAGCACAAGTCTTATGAGGAGCAGCTGAGGGAACTGGGGTTGTTTAGTCTGGAGAAGAGGAGGCTGAGGGGAGACCTTATCGCTCTCTACAACTGCCTGAAAGGGGGTTGTGGCGACGAGGGTGTTGGCCTCTTCTCCCAAGTAACTAGTGATAGGACAAGAGGAAATGGCCTCAAGTTGCGCCAGGGGAGGTTTAGATTGGATATTAGGAAAAATTTCTTCACTGAGAGGGTGGTCAGGCATTGGAACAGGCTGCCCAGGGAGGTGGTGGAGTCGCCATCTCTGGAAGTGTTCAAGAAACGTGTGGATGTGGCGCTTCAGGACATGGTCTAGGGGACATGGTGGCGCTGGATTAATGGTTGGACTTGATGATCTTGAAGGTCCTTTCCAACCTAGTGATTCTGTGATTCTGTGATTACGGATTTAGAATTTCCACTGCTTGCGATTTACTTTGGCCCCATCTGAATTGCAGCTCATAGCCAGCTACTATTCATGGTCAGTAAGCCTGCTCGTGCAGCGCCATACGGTCATCTGAGTGTTCCGGTGTTACATCTCGGTAGTAAATTCCTTGTGATCAGTGAGAGGAGCAGCTTCCCAAGTATTTACCAGCCTTTCAATTGAGCCTGTAACTTAAACAAGTAACAAAAGTTTGGAAGCCTTTCAATTTTGTTTTAAGAAGATTTTGAGGTTGTCTGAAAATGGGTAACTTCCTAGCTGGTTTGGTGAACTACATAATAATACATAGCTCTTTTACCGTGGAGGAAGTTTTCAAAACAAATTTTTCCATTATGCCATTTGGAGAAGACTTGCCTTTGTCTTTTGGATCACTTAGGAAAAAAAGGTGCGTAGAGAAAACAGTTTCTTCTTCATGTTGAGCTCCCTCATAGAAATAATTGCCGATACTGGCAGCCCACAGGTCTTTCAGATTCTTGTCGCTTTAGAGAGGATTTCTGTACTTCTTCCTTTAAAAGGAACTCTGCATTGCTATCAAGTGCTCTGCAAAAATTTTGATGTACATTTGCTTAGATGTACATTCTTTTTGGATATGTCTTTATGATTGTATGTGAATATGTATTATATGTGTAATATCTTCTACCTCTTTTAAAGTATAGGAAGAACAATAAAAGTTTAGTGAGGGACTCATATATATTTAATTCATGAAAATCATCTTACATCTTTTAAAACTCTACTCAAGCTAATCCTAGAAAAGCGCTTATGGTAGGTACATTACACGTTTTACTACTTGAGCATTGGAAATGCCATTAGTACAAATTTAAAGGACTGCAAAAAACAGTAGATAATGCTAATTTGAAATACAGAAACTAAGTATATTTTGTACTTTTTTATTACTGGATTTCTTTTTTATTTTATTGACTACTTTTTATTTTAACTATATGTCCTTACATGCTGCAATCATAATGTAGTGTAATGATATTAACATTTTGTAAATCTGTATTTATAGTTCTTTATTTAGAAACAATGCAGTAGGTCTGCAGATCTTTGAATCCTTCTGGAATGGTGCCCTCCAAATAATGATAAATTACTTGTGCAGTATGCCATTTGCTAATTATATCCATGATTTACTGCAGAGCAAGACTTAAATCATTCATTTCAGTCTTGCGTAACAGTGCCATAAAATTTTTAGGTTTAAAAATGGTTTCCATGTGTATAATTTAAACAAATTTTAGAGCAATTGTATACACAAAATATTGCAGCCATCCATTTGTTACATTCTTTGTCTCTCTTTTTTTTAAACTTGTACTTTTAATGATTACTGTGGTTGAAATTGTTATGCTTCATTTTCATAATCATAGCTTTTAATTCTACAACAGTTTTCTACATGTTAGATTAAGAAAAAGATGGCTAATTGTGTGTAGATACCATGTCATTCCTGAATAGCCCCACATTCTGGAAACCCATTTTAGAAATATTCAGTTTATGAATTGGTCTTCAATTAAAGGCGCTTCTATTTAAAAAATTAATTATTAGCTCTAAGATCTTCTTGTCTTCAAGCAGCTAATATTGATGTTGATTTTTTTCCTTCACTCATCTGTACACCAAAGTACAGTTAACTGTCTTTATATTTTTCTCTTTATCCATACCTATAGGTGAGAAGCCTTACAAGTGTCCACATTGTGATTATGCTGGTACTCAGTCTGCATCCCTCAAATACCACTTGGAGCGGCACCATCGGGAGCGACAGAATGGAGCAGGACCACTGTCTGGGCAGACTGCAAGTCAAGAACACAAAGATGAGACATCAAGTAAAAGTTCTGTGTTTATTAGACCAGATATATTGAGAGGAGCCTTCAAGGGGCTTCCTGGTATTGATTTCCGAAGTGGCATGGTCTCGCAGCAGTGGACGTCAGGAATGCTGTCTTCTGGAGATCAGCAAGGACAAGCAGCTGGCATGTCATCTGAAGTATCTTCAGAAAATATGAAGGGTTCAGACATACCTTCCAAAGGAACACACTTCTCTGAACTTGGCCGTGCTTACCAGAACATGGTTGGGAATGGTGTGAACTTTCAAGGGTCTTTGCAAGCTTTCATGGACAGCTTTGTCCTAAGTTCTTTGAAGAAAGAAAAAGAAATGAAGGATAAAGCTCTATCAGATCCACTTTCAGCAAAAGCTCTGGGCTCAGATGGTGGTGAGGAAAAGATAAACAGCAAGCCCTCCCAGCGAAAAACAGAAAAGTCACAATACGAACCCCTTGACTTATCCGTAAGGCCAGATGCAGCTTCCCTCCCAGGTTCATCTGTTACTGTGCAAGACAATATTGCTTGGCATGGCTGCTTGTTTTGTTCCTTTACAACTTCATCTATGGAACTAATGGCTCTGCACCTCCAGGCCAATCACTTGGGCAAGGCTAAACGTAAAGACAACATCATTGGGAACAACAAAGACCAATCTAGAGAAGCTTCAGCCTCAGTTAATAAAGTGAGCTTGCTCCCCTCTTCTGTGCAGTCCAGCAAGGAGGCAGTAGTTTCAAACATGCTGACCCAGCTGGACTCAGCATCTGAGAAAATGACTCAAGGACAAAATAAAGAGACCCTGGGAGAGCAAAAGAGCACTGCCTGGCCCAGCCACATGGAATCCACTTTTTGTAATTTTACAACAGACTTCTATAAGCAGTTTGGTGTTTACCCTGGTGTTATTGGCACAGGAACACAAAATTCTTGCACCAGTAATGAATCTGAAATAAAAACACAATCCGAAGATGACACAAATATTCTGCTCTCTGACTCTGTAAATAAAAGTGCTACTGATGACCTTTCTGACATAGCTTCATCTGAGGATATGGAATCTTCCAAGGAAGAAAACATTGAAGATGAGGACATTGACACAGAACCAGATATTATGAATAAGCAGTTGTCTGCCCTAAATAAAGAAAGTAATGAAGGAGGAGACAATATACAAAGTGCAGTCACCTCACAACCAACACAAGGGCTTGTATCACCACTGCCACAAGCATCAGAAAAGCAGTGGCACGGTCAGAATCTTCTATCCTCTCATGAGACTGCACAAGGAGTGATGAAACCCGAACAAGTTCAGGGTCCACAGGTCCTGGAGAAGCAGATGAACATGTTGTCAGTCCTAAGAGCTTACAGCTCTGATGGCTTAGCAGCCTTTAATGGACTTGCAAGTAGCACAGCAACTAGTGGATGTATCAAGAGACCTGACTTGTGTGGTAAGTTTTAGACCTTCTTTTAGACCATTTCAGAAAACACTTGTGCAGAATCATGAAGCTGCTCTTTAAATATACTTAGTCATGTTTGTTAGTAATACATTTTTTTTAAATGTTAAACCCTGTGGGCCAAATTCTAGTCTTATATGTGGTCTACTCCATTGAAATCAGCAGTGCTGCATGCATATACTTATACAGGATTTTAGAAAGAACTTGCTTTTTAAACTAGAGTAGCAGCAATATAGACTATCTGTGCTAGTGGCATCTGAAGGGGATACTGCTTTAGCATACTCAAAGGAGGAAAAAGTTCTAAAAAATTTACATGGTAACTTGCAAACTTTTCAGTATTTTGATATAAGTAAGAACCCAAGAAAAACACTGGATGCTTTGCCAAGCAAACCTTGCTTTCTCTCTTTTTCTTTTTCTTTTTTTTTTCCTTTCTTTGAATTGGGGTGCATTCAATTGCCACAATATTAATGAAATCAAAGGCCAAGTGGACAAAATGTGTCTACCTGTGGTGAAAAGCCTTTCTTTTTTCTTTTTTCTTTCTTTTTTCTTTTTCTTTTTTCTTTTTTTCTTTTTCTTTTTTCTTTTTTCTTTTTTTCTTTTTCTTTTTTCTTTTTTCTTTTTTCTTTTTTTCTTTTTTCTTTTTTCTTTTTTCTTTTTTCTTTTTTTTTGTCTTTTTTTTTTCTTTTTTCTTTTTTCTTTTTTTTTTTTTTTTTCTTTTCTTTCCCTTCCCTCCCCTTTTTTGTAGTTATATTTTTCTGGTTTGTTTCAATGACATCCATACAGTAGTTGCCCTTGACCATTTTCACTATTCTAACTAGTGGTTGTACAAATTGTGATTGGCCTAATTAGAATATGCCTCCAGGTAATTAAAAAAACCAACAACACACCAAACAAACAAAACCACCTTTTGCCCGTATTAGTCTCCAATTTACAAAACTGCAGTGTTACTTCCTCATATCACACACATCAAATGTAATGAAAAATGAAAGTTAAATCTATTTGGAACAAATGAGATTGAGGATTTTTCATTTTATCTCCTATTTTGTCAGCATAGTTCTTGTCTGAAAGAGGTTTTAGAGTGCAAATTCTTTGAAAAACAGTATCACTTTAAAAAGCAGTCAGCAAAGGACACAAAAACTTCAATAATGCTCATTTCACTTAACCTTCAAACTAATCAGAAAACTCACTGTCGGAGCTGAACATGCATAATAAAATGTATTCAAGTCAAAAAAAAAAAAGAAAAGACAATGTGATCAACAGTTACACAGCCTGACAATTTAAAATGAAACCCTAAGTCTGCAAACACTTAAGAATGGTTACCCTGGTTAACTTAAGGTTAGCGGGAGCTTTGTTTGACTTTACTAGGATAGTATATATGCTTAAAGCCATAATCCCTTCTTCAGGCCCCTCTCTGCTTTTCCAAGTCTATTAGTTGGTCTGATAAAAAAGGCTGATTTCTCCCCACAAAGTTTATCTCAGTTGTATTCTTAGAGCATTTTGTCTTCACAATATTGTCATTACTTAAACTGAATCAGGAGCCCAAGTATCTGTGTGGCCTTATTTGTAAACTTCTGTGTCTCGGTGCACTAAGCACCAACTCAGAAAGTTGGAAATATTTCCAGATTCTTCAAAATCAGTTGCGTTACTGATATTTTAAAAGTAGTTGATAGTTGATTTATTTGCAGCTGGTAAAATCCCACTTGGATTTCTTTTCTCTCTATTTGTGGAGTACAGTCAGTCAGTTACAAAAAAACCCCCAACCAAACAGCAGAGAAATGACTCTCTAAACAAACAAGTAAAAAATTGTGAAACTAAGATTAGTTGCCTTGTACAAAATATCTTTATACTTCATCCCAGTCACAATATTTTTAAAACAACAAGGAAACCCTCTAACATGATTATTGAAATGGGGTCATGTTACTTCCATTAGTTTTTTGTTTCATCTTCCAATCAATTCAACAGACGTTTTATGATGGCTTGAGTTTATATGATTTTAAAGACCATATGCCTTTCACAAGCTCTGCCCAGTGATAATGGATTTGACTTGAAGTATGAAGGAAAAAAAAAGACAACAGAAGCTTGTCTGCTCTACTTTTTAAGCCATTTTTAAATGGAAAATACAGTGTGAGTCCTCCTTTCTCCCCCCTCCAAAAACAGCTTTTTGAAATTCTTTACTGACATTCTATTGAGTGTTTGCAGAATATAAGTATTAAGGTTAACTATATAAATATATTATTTCATTTTTCTCAGTATCTTACAGCAAAAGTGAATGAGTATGAACAAGCCCCATGTCAGTAGTTCTGTTTTATTTGGCTGGCTTGGACACCGCCCACTTGGAAGTAGTGATTTTGGGGAGTTTTCATTTTCTCCGTGACATTTTGTACTGTGAAATCACACTCCATCTGTGCATGCTAGTGTGGGGAATCTCACCTGATGCTTCTGCACTTGCAGATTAGCCATCAGGAGCACCCTGTTCATTTATTAGCCTTCCTTCCCTCTTGCATAAAGCCGATGACCTTAGTCATTGTTCCCTTTGTCTCTCTTACTGACCATGAGATCAGAAAACTTGAGACCCACCTCCGGTACCCAAATCCAGGGCATGATTCTCGTGTTCCTTTGTATTTTGGGAGACTCTTCATGCTTTTGCCTTTCTTTTTACAGCCAATAATGTGTGGGTTGTTGACATCCCAAGAGAGAACACTGATACACTTGATACACTCCTTGCACAATCCAGACAGCGAGGCGTGGTGCTCTTTCCGCAGTCAGAATACAGCGGAAATAAAATTGAAATAAAATATCTCAGCTTCAGTTAGCTGAGATAGCATCTTTGATTGGCCACGCTAATTGAGTTAAATTTCTGGCTGCATAAAAACAAGCTGGGATTTTCAATGATCCATGTGGATCATTTTTAGTTGGCAGATTTTACCGTAAGATAAGGGGTCAGTTTTTAAGCACGAATCTTGGCACGAAAAGAGTTTAATTTCTGGAGGAGAATGCCACCAACTCACATTGTTGTTTTGGAAAGTCACCTCACATGGGGGAAGCAGTCCTCAGTTTCCCTATGTGTAGAATGAGAAAGACTGATGACGTACACATAATTCATTTATGCTCCTATCATGCTTCAGGCTGTATGGATGAAAGACACAATTAGGAAAGAGCCATAATTACTGCATAATACAGGAATTTCCATGTCAACATGCTGCTGAGAAAAAAAAAACAGATTTTTGTCATACTTCTCCTTTACATACATGGCAGAATAGGAAAGAACAGCAAGAAAGAAAAAAACACCATTGATGAATTTAGAGTTACTCCTGACCTGAACTTGGCTTTGGAGTCTCAAGTGACTCTACCTAGGAGCCAATCCTGTTAATCTTTGCTACCATGCAGTTTCTAAGAAGAACCTTTCCTTGCTGCTTGGCAGCCAGTAGCCTAGCGTGGAGGGGAAGCCCAGGGTGATGGCTCCATGGCTTGGTAGCTGTCTTGAGCATCCATGTACTCTGCTTTCACAATCTCTTGCTCATTCGAGATGTTATGCTCGGATGCTCTAGACCTACTTTGTATTTAAGTTTTGGAAGATCTGTTTTGCTTTCTATTTATGCTCTTCTCTTTCTCTGCTTGTCTTCCCATATACATGTAGTTGTATCACAATAATGTTCTACCTCCCGTTCCAAGTCATTTTTACACGTGATTTGCACAGCATCTATTTATGACAAGACCCTTTCCTTTTTCTCTCTCCCCTGCTTTAAATTTTTCGGCTTTGTGTCTAAGATGGTAAAATTTCCCTACTTGCATTTTCTGCTTGGGAAGTATTTAGGCTTTCAAAGAAGAGCTGGTGGGCTGCAGAACTATTGGCCAGAGATAGTCCTGGGCATTAGCCGGTTGCTTAATAGGTTAGTGCTATTGAACCCACTCTTACTGATGTCCAAAAGTATTAGTTCCATGTTGTCTCTATAAATCTAATTTGCTTCCATTCATGCCTGCTTTCCTCTGCAATTAGTGCTGTTTTTTCCTGCGTGGGCTCCACCCCATTATCACTCTCTCACTGTGTGAAAACCAGGCAGGGCCCTTCTGGTGTGTGGTAGCAGCTTTGGAGTTCTGATCCTGCAACGGGCTGAGCGCTTTCAATTTCCTTTGGAGCAGAAAGCGTTCAACAGTGCACAGAATTATTAAAATGTTCAGCATTGTAACTTTCTGAAATACCTCAGATGTGGAACTGCAGCACAGACAAGAGGGCTGGGCAAGGGGAAGATCGATTGTGGCAGATTATTACAGCTTTATTGTCACATAATTATAGTGCTCTCCCCCAATGTTTAAATAGTGAATTTAGTCACTGTAAATTGCTTATTGCCACAGGTGTCAAAACCAAAAAGACTATAATGCTAACCCCTTCAGAACTACCACCAACATATAAAATACAGAAAAAGATTTTTAATTGTTTGTGGTGGCTTCACTTGTATCCTTATTGCAGCTTTTTTATATTATAAAATCCATATTAAACAGATGCAGAAGGCCTGATATAGCCAAGCTCTAGGACAGCTAGCAGGCAACGGAAGGTCATCCTCCTGCCGCAAAGCGTAGTACTCCTGCCCATTTCAAGTGTCTTGCAATGCACTTCAGTAACCCGACGTTTCGTCCTGATCTGCAGTTAAAGGAGTAACCAGCATATTCTTTTCCTTCAAGGCAGAAGTAAATGACAAGGAAGTATCACCGCTGACTTTCCTTTACCCCGTTGTGGTGATTTTGAAGGGGGTTCTTTAGTTTCAGTTAGGAGGTCCCCGGCCTGCTTTCAGGGTAAGAACTGCTGAGCAGGAGATCAGCCCCTCGGCCCCACGCCTGGGTCCAGCCGCACTTCTGGCTGTCGCGGTGCCATTTGCATGGCAATATCAAACCGAACTCGTATGGCTTGCTTCCTTTTTTTAATTAACTGGGAATAACAGCGATCCAGTAAGTTTGTGTTGCTGGATAAAAGGGCCGGTCTGTGAGTAGCATTGTATTTGCCAAATGGTTCGCTAGTCATTTCAGTACAAACAAATGGATGGTGTCTGTAAGTCTGCAAACACTGTTGACATTTAGCCTTGTTTATGTTACTTTCCTTTTGCTGCATATTTTTGGCTAGAAAAGATACTGTCTGAATCAACATTGACTTCCTAAGCAGAAGCTAAGGACCCAATCTTGCATCCCTCATGCTCGATGAGTGGGACTACTTACATGACTAAGGATTGCAGAATCAGGTCCTGCGTTTATTTGACTTTAAATTTCGTTGCTATATTAATGTAATTTAATTTGATTGTATTTTATTGTATCAGAAACTGGTCTGGTGATAAGTTCAGTATCACTGTTTTGTTTACTGTTGAAAACTTTTATTTCTTTCCATTTTTCGTACTGTGGTGTAACGTTCCCATTCCATATGTTTCTGGAAATTAACCCCTAAAATACTGGATACAGCTAAGTGCTGAGTACCTTCTATTCCCAGTGAAACCGGAGGCATTCAGTCCCTCCTAGCCCCAGATCTGAAAGGGGGATTGTGTTTGCAAAAGGAGGCCGTGGTATGTGCCTTGATTTCAGACATCAGTGGCCAGCCGCACCAAGGCAAATCCCTAGCACAGAAAGGCTTTTCTTTTCTTTGCAGAGACAAAATAATGATGTAAGCTTAGAGCTGTATGATCTTACTCTGAGTTTCATCTCCCAAACAATATATTCTTATTGTTTTTGTCATATCCAGGTCAAATTTAAATTATAATTTAGGATTAGGCAGAGGCATAGAGATGTTTCCAGGTCTTTCCAAAGTGAGACAATGCTCTGGTTTGTGTTTTGGTTCAGGAATATATATTCTTGTGTCTGAGGTATAGTATTTCCTATAACTACTCATAAACATGAACAATTTAGACATCCTTGTAAGTCAAAACTAAGTGTATGATTAATACCTATTATGAGGCCAATTTTAAACAATTAATTTGACAGCAATTATAATTTTATGTTACAGGCTTTCAGAAATAAATAACCAAATTCATCTTTGTAATCTAAGGAACTTAGAATATCTTTGTGCGGAGATGATCTTGTTATGCACAGTATTGCATATCTGGAATTTTTGAGGTTTGCTCCCACCTGTCTAGATACTCGTAGTACCAGGGATTAATAATTACCTGAGGCTTATTAATTGTTTCAGCAAAGAAAAAAATATATACCTTAAGTGTAAGCATTAATATAAGTATACACAATACATCCACGATATATAACAAACCATCATAATAGTACAAAAATAGAGGTCCTGAATATGTTCTGTTATTTATGTGTTTGGCAAGCTTAGGGAATGGACTTTAGTATGAGTGAAAATTCTCTTAACATTTTTAAGGTTATTTATTGTCATTTCTATTTGAGTTTTTAATGGTCCTGTATTTTGTAATGCTTTAGCAGGAAAAAATACTGTAGTTATCTTTTTTCATATTCTTTAAGCAATATTTCTAGCTTAATATATTGTGCCAGGTTTTCCAATATTAACCAAGAAAGACAGTAAAATTCAATGAACAGCACTCTGACATCCACAATTTAAAACCTGTGATTGAAGTGAAATGTGTAAACTTCTAGTGGGTTATCATGTGCTTTGGAATAGAGTATTGTTGGAAGTAATTAGAAAATATATTAAGGTTTCCTGGTAATGAAGGTATGTAAGTTTTAATAATTGTTGCTTTCTGAATAAGTGTCAAACTATATCTTTAAATGTATATGGAGTTACAAGTTAGGTCACTTCTGAATGGAATGTAAAACAATACTAAAATGCTTCAATAACTTATCTCAGTGTTGCTAATAAAAAAAAAGCTGTTAACCATTAGTGCAGTTTTGAGTCATTTTGTTAATTCATTCAAGAAAACTCTCTGAGAAGCTGTTGTACCTTTTGGTAGACCAAAGACCGCTCAAGCAATCCACAGCTGTTTGGTGCTTTGAGAGGCAAACTCTGCAAAGCTACTTGCTGGCCTTGTAAAGGCTATTAATTGAAAATGCGTCTTCTGAGGAAGGGCTGGTTTGTCGTTAGAACGATGCTGTGTATGGTTAGGCAGGTATGTAAGGGGGGGCATGAGACTCGTTTCCTCTGTCACAGGAAATATCTCGGGAATGTGGGAACGCCTCCCCCGGTGACGCTAGGAAAATCCAGCAGCAATTTTCACGGAGGCCACTGGGTTAAAAATGAGTAATGTGGGATGGAGTAAGTGCGTAAGTATTAGTGCCTGGGTGCTTGGCCAGGGTGAGCTACACATTTGGGTCCAGTCCTACAACTGGAATTACAGCCTTAGTGAGGAATGGGTATACAACGTCTGTCCCGGTGGAGACAGACCAGTAGCCTATGGCCAAAGAGTGATCTTTCTTGGTTAATCTTGCCGAGCCTTACCTTAAGTCACAGTCTTCGATACTGCAGATAGCACTGAACTCTCCTTTTTGTTTCCCGTGGAGAGAACGTGCGATAAGCGTCCCGAGACTAGCCTTCCTCCTCAGACCCGCGTCCGATTCACCCAAGATAGAGCCAGCGTAGGGTAACAAGCAACCGGTTGCATCAGGCCCCGTAGTGTCACTCAGGTCTATGGTAAGTGTTTCCAGGATGGGACCCACAGGAGGTGGCCTGTTGTTTGGTGCACCGCTGCGTACGCAATGGAAGCTAAAGGAAAACATGACTGGGGCTCCCGGTGTCACATCTTCATTAATGCTGACAGTTTTGAATAGCATATTGGTACTTTTTATTTATTCCACCAAAACACCGTGAGTCAGGACCTGACATTTTAGTGTTCTGTGTCATACTGAGAAAAATCTGTAGTTCAGCAGTAGGACAATTATATTATTTTGGAAGGACTAGAAATAATACAGCATTTGTGAGACAACTGTAACATTTATCCAGACTCAGTGTGAGATTGTTCTTCCTTTTATTTGGAGAGCGCTTCCAAAAAAGTATCATCTAGGAGCAAAGGAAAAAAAAGACAAGAAAAAGTGGCAATTATGAATCCATTTAACCCCCATAGGGTATAATCTCATCTTGTGTAATACCGCTGGCTGTTACATGCCTAAACTTCTATGCACTGAGCTGTGAATATAGTCCTTATTGTCCTGTGGGCAATATGACTAAGGAAAAAATATCTCTGTAATACAATGGAGCATTTGTCTGAATGGCGTAACCTAAGGTCCGTAACATCAAATCTAAAGTTGTAATTATACAGCTGCAGTCACACCACTCAAGTGAAGGCTGTGTCAGCACTTGTATTATATAAGAAATCCTGTTTTCAAGGGTTGATGAGTCATATTTCTCACTAAACAATTGTTCTGGTTGTTCTGAAGCAACGTCTAGGTGCGGGCCTTTCCCCCGTAGGACGTGGTCATGTCTTCTGCAATATGCCGTGGCTTAACTTGGCAGTTTATTTTGCTAATGAATGTATCTTTTCTGAGC